CTTGAAAATGGATTGCCCAGATGCTAATTTTGCTACTTTCTTCAATTTTCAAGAATTATATTGGCTTTTGTTGTTACTTGTATGTAGACCTGTAAACGGGTTGGGTTTGGGTCAGATTCAATCCGATCTGTTAAGTTAATGAGTCATCCGAACTCGACCTGTGAATTGAAACGGGTCACCGAACTCGACCCGTTAAGCTAACGGGTAATAATAATTATTATTATTTTGCATAGAGTTTATTCTTTGTTGTTAAGATTTTACTGAAATTACTAAAACATCCTCAACTAACGGATGCTAATGGGTCTAACGGGTTGATCTAAAATGACCCGTTATTTAATGGGTTGTTAACGGGTTCACCCGTTAGCGATCCGACCCTTTAAGCATTCATCCAAATACTAATATTAACAGGTCGAATCCAAAATGCCAGGTCTACTTGTATGTAGGTAAAGGATATGGGAATGAGCATATGATAGGAAGCAAACCCTAGGAGTCTACGACCCTTTTCTTGAGACGACACTTTTGTCACATTATTTATCGTGTACGTGAGTGATTTGTGGTCACTTAATAATGTAATACATGGATTCGAATTTATGTAAGCTATGAAGCACAGATACGGATGCGGTAGTGTGAGTTCGGAAGCATGAAAAGTTAAAAAATGGGAATTTGGAAGAAGCGGCGATTCGCCAATTAAAAAGATTTAGGATAAAGTACAAAAAACTACTACAACTATTAGTGTCACGACACTTTCATACCTCATTTTTTAAAAATTGACAATCTCATACCTCATCTTTAGAATTTGGTCCAATGTTATACCTTCCGTTACTTGGCCGTTTACTTTTCAGTTAAATGCTGACGTGGCTTGATTCGAGACCCATTTTCTATTAAAAAATTAATAAAATATTTTTAAAAACTAAAAAAAATTTATCTAATATTTTTTAAAATAATAAAGAAAAGTAAAAAAAAATAAAGATATCCCTTGTTCATCCCTTCCCCCCTCTCTTTCTCCCTATCTTCATCTTCTTCCCTTCTTAATATTCAACAAAAAAAAAAATTTGAAAAACCCGTCAACCTTCCCCCCCCCCCCCGGCGCAAAGAAGAAGAGGAAAAAAAAAAAAAAAAATCCAACCCAACCCAGTTCCCCCTTCTAAAATCCCCTGCAACCTAGAAAGAAGGAAGGGGAGGAAAAAGAAGGAAAAAAAAAAACCCAAACCCAACCCAGTTCTTCTCCCCACCACACCCCGCCCCCCCCCCCCCCCCCCAACTCAACCCCCTGCCAACCCCAAATCCACCACTTTCATCCATTCTCCGCATCCATCCTTCACCTTCTCTGCGCACCCATCTTCCCGTCGATGGATCTAGGTTTTTTTTTTTTTTTTTTTTTTCTTTTTCTGGGTTGCTGGAGGGAGAATAGGGGTGGGGATGGGGGAAGACAAACTGAGGGTAGGTGTGGGGGGAAGACATATTGGAATTTTTTTTTTTGAAGGGGTTGTAGGTGGGGGAAAGAAGTTGAAGATAGGAGAAAAGAAAAGATGAAGATGGGAGAAAGGAAAAGAGAGGAGGGAGGTGAGAGGAGGGAGGGGCGAACTGAGGTTGTTTTTTTGTTTTAAATTTTTTTTAAACTTTTTTTTATTATTTTAATATTTAAAAAATATTAAATAATTTTTAATAATATTTTAATAGAAAATAGATTCTAAATTAAACCACGTCAGCATTTAATTGAAAAGTAAACGGTCAAACGGAAGGTATAACATTGGATCAAATTCTAAAAATGAAGTATGAAATTGTTAATTTTAAAAGATAAGATATAAAAATATCATGACATCAATAATTGAGGTAGTTTTTTGTCCTTTATCAAAGATTTAAGTAACGCAACCCGTCTCACTTCAAAATTCTAGTGTAGGACAAAAACAGTGTCGTTTTGTGTGCCAGGGTAGAGACTGCACTTCATCTTCTTTCCGCAGCTTCTTTGCAAGGCGTAACCACCGAGCGACAGCCGTTCACACAGCCGCAACCAACCGAACCCAGGCGAACCAGGCGAATCCGATCCCGGGGCTCCAAACGGCACCACTTCAAAGAATCCGTGCTCATTTTACTTTCACCCAGCTGGAGGAGCAACGAGCTTTCAGTCAGCTCATGACGACGGCGTTTGCGGCCATATTCTTCCCAATAGACCGGCGCACGTTAAGGTGAAATGAGAGGCGCAAATGGCGTAGTTGGTATTCTGCGCACGTCTGTCCTGGCCCGGATTTTATTGACTCGCCACTCTTGCTCCAAGTTGTATGTTGCAGGTCTGCCAAAACTTGTCCCTTTTGCTTTGATTTGTTTCTTTTAGAATTTTATTTTTTGATATTCTCCTCGGTCGATTTTGTTTTAAGTTATAATTCTTTGGTCGAAATCTTATTGCCAGCTGAAATATTGTTATGCATCAAATAGCCAAACTAGAATCCCGTTCCGCCGTAGATTAGAGTAGTTTAGAATATTGCGTTTATATATAGATTGTTGATAAAAGATATAACAGTGAAATTTTGGATTTTAAGTTCTACTGCTTTCGATATTGTAAATATCATGGGTTTGGAGATGTGGGTTATGCCTTTCACACGCAAGTTCGAATCCCCTTTACCGTAGATTAGAGCAGTTTAGAATATCGTCTTAGATTTGAATTGGTGATAAAAGATATAACAACTAAATTTTGGATTTTAAATTTGTATGAGCCACCGAAGTAGGGGAAACAAGTTCCGACAGCTTTTGATATAATAATTATACTGCAGCCTAAGCTGTCTGTGATATGCAGGGCTTTCCTGGGATACAAATGAACCTGTTCTTAAGGAAGCTTTCGGAAAACATGGTGAAATAATTGAAGGTAGTGTTAAACTCTTTGAGGCTGGCAATAATTTTGTAGGTCTTTATTTTCTTGTAGATGATGCAAGGATACCAATTATTTACTTGAGAATTTATGTTGATGTGTTAAACAGTTAAAGTTATATGTGATCATGTGACTGGGAAATCGAGAGGGTATGGGTTTGTGAAATTTACCTCTGAAAGTGAAGCCACCATTGCTCTCAAGGAGATGGATGGTCAGGTTGTTTTTTCCATCATGAATAATTTCTTTGTAATTTGCATGTGTCGAAAACTTGAAATCACCCTACTAGCTACGTTATTAGGAACACAAAGTAATATCATTGCTCCATGTATGTGTTACCTTTCAGGTTCTGGATGGCAGACAAATCCGATTGCAATTTGCACACAAGGAGTAGTGACATTGGTCTCAGGTAAAATTTACTTAGTAGATAAAAGCTTTGTACGATTTAAGTGTAGGGTCACACTACTCTGTGCTTTGGTTCTTTCCATGGAGTTTACTACTCAAGTTCTGTACCATAGAATTTTCGTTGGCTGGAATTCCTTTTACAGTTGGCTCTGTATTCATTCTTTACCTGTTGCTTCCATATGCTAGTCATGCCTTATATAACCAATATCCAATTTTTCACGTGAAATAAGTTGCCAATTTTTCATGTTGCATAAACCGGGAAAATTTAACATTTTGGGAAGCGTTTTGGGTTAGAAAAATGATTTACCTACAAAATTTCTTGCTTCTCATCGATGGTAAAGCAGGTTGTAGGCTGATTTTGGCTTTTCATATTTCTGTCTCAGAAATTGCTTCTATTGACCATCAACTGATGCTGTTAGAATGAAAACTGGTGGCGGGATTTAGCTTACAATTGTCCAATTGATAATGTATAGCGTAAAGTTGTTTAATTTGATTACAAAACATGCATGTTCTAAGGGACTACGGATGGTGGTAGGGAGCATAGCGTTAACTTGCTCCCATTTGCTCCCAGGACATATTTGTCTTGAACATAATAGGTGAGAACTACGGAGATTCGCACACTATCTCAAAGTCGCATCTCCAAGGTTCCATTTGTTTTAGTGCAGGGTTTGGTTGTTCTTAGAAGTTTTTAGTGTTTCCAGTGTACCGTACTGTCGAAACTTTTGCATGATATAAGGTATTAGCTATGATCCTATCTCCGCGAGAATTTATTTTAGAATGTAATCCAGAAAGCTGGTCTTTTGTTTGTTTCGGAGCCTGTATAATTTAATTTAGGATGCTTCCTCTAAATGGTAATATCATGTCTTGTCGCGTGTTTGAACAGGTACAGTGGATTGGAGGGGGCATGCTGTGGTAGGTGGTGGTAACCAGCAAGTCCAAATTTAAGTTGCTCACAAATTGTTGTCGTCCATTGACAATTCTGTAAAATTCTGAGTGAATTTTTTCCAGTTAGTGTCGTCATCTATGAAATCAAGATATTTGAAGAGATTTGATCAAATGTTACGGTGAAACAGTCTCCCGTAACATAGAGACATTACGGGCTGGTTTGGTATTGTTATGCTTTGAAAAAAAGCTGCTTCTGCTGTGCTGTGAGAATAAGCAGCTGTGAAATAAAGTAGCAGAGTGTTTGGTAAACTTTTTTGTAAAAGTGTTTTTGAAAAAAAAAAAAAAAGCAGTATAGTGTTTGGTAAACTTTTATGTAAAACAGATGTGAAAAAAAGTTAGTTTTTTAAAGTTGGGTTTTGCAGCTTCTTGTTTTTGGCTTTTTTTCACCCAAAACTGGGAAAAAAACTAAAGTTGAATGTTTACCAAACACAAAAACAGCTTTTGGCTTTTTTTATACTAAATTTTTTCAGAATCACCTCAGTACCAAACCAGGTCTATATCAAGTTTACATCCCCTCATGGCGGTTAATTGAAATGAGCTGAATCGAAAACTTGACTTACGACTGGTTTGGATCTTTTGGTACGGCAAGGGGCGTAGCAGTTGGATGTTCATACGCAATAACAGGGAAAGAACTAAAAATGAGAATATGCACAAGTTTTTGTTGTTTGTGAGATTTTGGAGTGAGAATATGGAAATGTTTGTGTTGTTTGTGAGATTTTGAGGAAACTAAACTTATCGAGAAACTAAACTTATTGAGGAAACTAAACTATATATAAGAGAAACAAACAAGAATAGTAATCTCATCGTTTAGTATAAGCAAAGTTGAATTCTCAATCCTTATGGTAATCTGATTTGAGTTCAATCCTAAACCATTCCATTTTCGTCGATTCAACCGGCCAACACTGAAAGTTACAAAGCTGACTAGGTTAACTTCCTCTCAAGAATAGGTATCGTTTTCATGCCTTCCAGTCTGGGCAACTTCAACAAAAATCAGCCTCCCATCAACCATCTGGACAAATTATCAACAAAGTAAGATTTCAGAAGAGAACGATGTCGAAAAAGCACAACATAACAAAGGATACTGGCAATTTGATCAACCAAACACACGCATTCAGGGATAATAGACCAGAAATGCTTGACAAACTGCAGTCCATAGCATCTCTATCAATTCAATTTGACTAATTTCAATATTAAATTGAAAAACAAACAAATTTACATAATTTAACAGCATAAGAACACTTCTGATACGAGTGAATTAACCACTTTAATCTGAAAAAATATGGGTTTGTGAATTGGGTTTTGTTTTTCCCATAGAGAGAGGAAATTACCCTGCCATTCATTGCCTTCAAAGCTTTTTGTGCCTCCACATCTGACTGGTAAGTAACAAAACCAAAACCTTTTGGTCTATCAGTTCGACGATCCATAATTAACCTGGCTAAACAAACAAATCAAAAAGGAAAAACCAGTCACCAATTTTCCACAAATTACAGAGTAAAAGAAAAGAATTAGAGAAAATTAATATGGAAAAATAAAAATAAAAAATAAACCTTCTGTAACATTTCCAAAGGGAGAAAACAATTTCCTGAGCTTTTCACTGGACGTGAACGATGATAACCCTGAAAAGCAAATCCAGGAAATCAGAACACAAAAACCCAAAACATAAAATTTGAGAGAGAGAGAGAGAGAGAGAGAGAGAGATTACTGCTGACGAAGAGCTGCGAGCCTAATCTTTTGGCCATCTCTGTGTAAACCCAAATCCCAGATTTCTATTTCTTTTGATAAAAAATAATGAACGAGCAGTTTTTGTACGTTTAAGCTAAATTGGGAATTTAGGGTTCATCACTTTGAAGTTGTAAATTTGCAATCTCACTTGTGCCCAGATGTTACATATCTGTTGGGCTTCATTGGGCTTTGTTTATTGCTAACCATCCGGCTCAGATTCTGAAGGAGCTCAAATTAATTTGGTTAACAAAAAACAAAATCTACACAAAAACGAATGAACACTAGCAAATCAAAATTTCAATCTCCTCATTTGCATCTATGCATTAGAGCAAAAATAAATTTTATGCATATGATCTCCAATCTTGGAGATGCTCTTAAGCCTCTTAGTTCTCTCTTCACCCAAACAAGGGACTTTTATTTTCTATTTTCTTTTTCATATACTAGCTATAGGATTTGTTTGAAAATACTTTTAAAATGACTAAACAACTTTTGGTGAAGGTTTTTTTGAGTTTTAAAAGCACTTGAAGTGCATTTCGAAAGAACCACCAATTACATGCTCGTTCCGAGAAGCATTTCAAGTACTTTTTCAAGATTTACTTGCATTTTCACTAAAAGTTGGTTTCATAATGACTTCATCAAAATCGCTTTTAGTCATTTTATTTCCAAACACATCCATACACATCAAGGCAGCAAATGCAAGTACCATATCATATGATATAATATTATGTAAAGAGAAACTTATAATTAATTCAAAATGTCACAATGAAGTGTAATAAATTTAAATAAATTTATTTTTTTCAAAAAAAAATTTGTTAAATTAGGGAGCCGACGGGGTTCAAACTCACGTCGTAGTGCAAGGGTAACACTCCTCTCCAGTCTCCACCACTATGACAGAAGTCCACTTGCTATTGTTAGTTTATTCATAGTTTTATATATTCATACAATTGTATATTAAATTTGATAAACATTATGGTATGTACCAAAAGGGTTTAGAAAAAAAATGATAATTTGCATATCTGAAAAAGTTAGAGAATATTAAAACTTGTAAAATATATCAATTTCAAAAGTTTTGAGATTACTCTGATTTCCAAAAAAAATTGGAATTGAGATTGCAAACCTTGTGGGGTGGATCGACATATTCACCCATTCCAAACAACGTATATTAGAGTACATGTTTTCTATTTAAAACCTTTCAATTTCTGATCATCACGTAAAGATTATTCTTAATCCATTCGAATTTGTGATCAATTATTTATTCAAATGTATCAAGTAAATGCACATTTCATCATGGATATATTATTTGTATACCAACACCGTCGATATTTCCTCAGACATTTGAAATTAGATGATTAAACAACCTCCGATTAGAATGATTTCTTTTTTAATGATCTTTATCTGTTAAAAAATTCAACTGACTTTGATTATAAAATTTATATACTAAAATATGTTATCCGCTAGGCGGATGTAAAAGATGCATATATCCTTCTCATGGGTGGATGCAATAATCATCCTTTTTATTAAAGATCGATGATATTCCCCCTTTATTAATGGGCACGATTGTGAAGAATTTATGTTTAAAGATCCGCTGAGAAGTTACAATTAGATGGAATGGCGTTCGTGATCATCGCAATGCAGTTCTGACAAAACACGAACATAATTGGAGAATCATACACCTAGAGTTTGATAGTATTCGATGACTAAAAACCCTCAATTCGAAGGTTGATTTCTTCTTCGAAAGAACGAGCTCTGAAGCTCCGATAGGGAAGTAACCCCAAGATAATGTTCCAACTAAGAACAAAGAATTCAACTTACTTGGTTGGAAAAGATATCGAACCAGCAGGACGATCAAGAACACCAATCACAATCGGAATTCTTAAATGTCAGAAAAATAAAAACTGAAGCAACAGACTAGGCAACGAGTAGCAATTTGATTTCAGTTGGGCATTTCATCAAACCAGCTTCGCAATTGAAAACCCCACAAGAAAGATCTATATATAAGCACCAAGGATTATATGAACCACAATCGTATTTCATTTCCTAACAAGATAAAGATCGAGATCCAAATCAACGTAAATTCAAAAAAAAATTGAAAGCAAAATACACATTTACTAATTAAAACCCTAACCCTAGACCCATACGACTTGATTTCGAGTACCAGACATTGAAACCCACAAACCCTAACCCTTCAAGAGCTGGTAAACTTAGTCACGGCCTTGGTCCCTTCCGAAACAGCGTGCTTGGCGAGCTCACCAGGGAGCACGAGCCTCACGGCGGTCTGGATTTCCCGGGAAGTGATCGTCGGCTTCTTGTTGTACCTCGCGAGCCTGGACGACTCCTGGGCGAGCTTCTCGAAGATGTCGTTGATGAAGCTGTTCATGATTCCCATGGCCTTGCTGGAGATCCCGATGTCAGGGTGGACCTGCTTCAGCACCTTGAAGATGTAGATCTTGTAGGTCTCCACGCTCTTCTTCGATCTCTTCTTCTTCTTGTCTCCGGCGGCTGCTCCGGCCTCTTGGGAAGCTTCTTCCCGGCCTTGGGCTTCTTCTCGGCGGGGGCTTTCTCCGCCACGGCGGACTTCTTCTCCTCTGCTGGCTTCTTCTCGGCGGGCTTCTTCTCGGCTTTAGGCGCCATTGATGGAGATGGGTGAGAGAAAAGTTCTCGGATTTGGGGATTTTTCGATTTGGATTGAAAGACTCTTGAGAGTTGGATATTTTTGAGATGGACTTAAGAGGTGAGGAGAACGTGTTTTTATACAATGGAAGCGGTTGGATTCTATTGGCTAAAGTATTTTGACGGGGATCGCTGTCTGGGATATGGTTTTGGCCGTGGATTGGGTTTGGGAAAGTTCAAAAATTGACGGTTGCGATGTGTTAAGCTGGATCAAGCGGATTGGTGCCGGATCGGTGAGTTCAAGAGGAATTGGACGGTGGATACTTTCTGTATGAAATTGACAACGGACGGCTGAGATGAGGAACTGATCGATGACGTCATCTGGATGTAGTTCTATTTACAAAGGATATCAAAAGGCAAATTAGAAAGGGAATTGTTATTAGTACTTCAAAAATCTCATTCTACACTCCAAATTTTTTATGTTTGGAAAGAAAAATACACTTGTGAGGAGTGTAGAATGAGATTTTTAGAGTGTCAATAACACTTCCCATTAAAAATATCAAATAGTAAAATTTAGGTGACATCTGATAAAATTTTAAAAAAGAAAAATTCATTAAAATTATACAATATTTTACAACAAAAAATAATAAAAGAACTAATTCTTACCAACTGTGAACTTGGTTTATATCCCCAAGTAGACTGGAAACCTTAAAACAATTGTACAGGAGAAATACGTAGAAGATTCTCTGAAGAGCAATTCCAGCGTTGCAAAGGCCCCCTAGGGCAACTCACTATTGAATAGCCTCCAGTGAACAATAACTGCCTTTGATAAACAGTAATTGCATTTTGCATCTCCACCCCTTAAACTGAATAGTTATGGCAATAGGCAATAAAATATTAGTATTTTTTATTTTTATAAAATACTAAAAAAATATTTTTTTTGTAATTTCGAATAGGATTTTTAATCGATCTCGTTGTAACATATGTCATTAAATAAGAAATTAAACCCAAAGTATTTGAGAAAATATAAAATTATGGTGTAAGTTGGAAGATAATGATAACATATTTATTAAAAATTAAATCAATTTAAAAAAAAAAATTCGGATTTTTTATTAAGTTTTTACTTTTATTAATTTTTTACATTTTTTATTAATTTTTTACGAATTTTTTACATCTTTTTATTAATATTATATATTTTTTATTAATTTTATATCGTGGTTGATGTCAGCCATGCATCACATAGGCCTCGGACTCCCGGGCAACCGATTGGAGCCGGGCCTCTCACTCGGGCCCCCCTTGGCCCACACGCCCGCACGGGCTAGAGCCAGCAGCTGGGGCCATTGGGTTAGAAAATCACAGGTCTATCAGGCTACTCCCCCTGTTGAAGTTGCTCTAAAGTGAAACTTTTTATGAACTTTGTCACCTTATGTTTTTAGCACAATGTTTTATAATGTTGACAATACGGAAATTGATGTTAAAGTATAACATGACAAAGATTCCATGAAGAAGCTCACTTTAAGAGAGTTTTTTTAGCATTTCTCAATTCTGAAATGTTGTATTAAGATTGAAGCACTTCCACCATGCTTAATTGCCTTGTGGATACTGGATAGGCCCCAAATCCATTGCAATCCACCCCTTTCCCCAAAACTCCTCTAGCCACCTTGGGCAATTGGGCTAAGAAGAGCCAACCAAGACGTCAGGCGAAAATCTAAGGCCCGAGCGTCTGGATGGATGTGACGTCAGCCATGTTCTAAAAAAATTTGAGTCAGGCGTGTGGGCAACACGCGCGAGTAGGCGAGTCTCCGACATATTTTCAAACAATGGGGCCCACGTGTCAACCCCACTCAATTACCGTTGAATCTAGACCATTTGATTTCTAAATCAACGATTCTCATTTTTTGGCTTAAAAAAAATTAGAAATGTAACGGTGGGCCACGTGTCAACATAAAGTGCCATCACTTTATATAATAAAATTATTTGTTAGAAAATTTAATAATAATATTATTATATTAAATTTATTAATTGAATGGAAATTAGAAGTGGAGCCTTTTGGTAAAAAGATGTGTCTACTCAAATGAAGAGTTGCAACTTTTGACTCTTCATGAATAGTCACATGTTTTCCAAAGAGATATCTCACATTCTATAAATAGAGAAGCCACCTATAATTACAAGATAATTTTTCATTGTTTTGCATAATCATACATAAAGTGCATGAAATATTAGAGAGTCTCATTGAGTCCATATGAGAGAGTTTTCAACACAATCGTGGTTCATGGAGCCTTGTGATTTGGAGTGCTACTATAACAAGGACGTGGTCGTTGTATCTTGGGAGATATGCGCCGATCAACCATGAGCACCGTAGTGGGACGTAAACTTGTCTTAAGGACAAAGTGTCCAACACTTGCCTCGACCGTATTTTCTAGGTTTTTATAATCCATTATATCATGTTCATTCAACATTGGTTACTCATGTGCATGCATTATTGTGATACATAATTGCATGAATTATTTCTTGAGTTTCTATGTGATTTATTATAGCAATTAGACCCTAATTTTTTCCAACAATCTTAAGACAAGTTTATGGTTTATTTGCTATATTTATGGTTGAATGAAAACATGAAGAAACAATATGTTTATTGGTTTATTTGGTATATTTATGGTTGATTGAAAACATGAAGAAACAATATATTTATATTTGGTTAAAGGGGACACGTTTGCATCCTGGGAATTTTGCTTAAATTGATTCAGTTTTCAAGTTGTTAAGATCTGCCTGTCGCTATATGCACATATATTTCTCTATTGGTTCATTTTATTGATTTGACTTTGAGAGACACGGTATTTAGACAGAAATATATGACAATTATTTTCAATTTTGTTTATGCTAGTTTCCAATTTATCTACTTAGTTTCTAAATAATCACACGTGACTGTGTTGAAACTACGAAGTTTGTTTCCTGTTAGGAAGTAATTTACAAATGCACACAGTGATCAGGAATATAAGAATATACTTGCTTTCATAACTCTATCTTTATAATATTCTTCAGCGATTACATGTTTATGACTTTTCAGAATGTCAGTTATTTGGTTACTCAATGCAGAAACTGTATGCGACTTCTGATAGTCGCACCATTTCGTAGTGGGAACTAATTTGGAATGGATGCTTCTTTTGAGTTCTTGCATTGCATGCAGATGTAATCATACAGATTGCACACGGATGAACTAGAAACGTAGATTTAATTCTAGCGACTCCAAGAAGAGTCTCACCATTTCAAAGCAAGACCACTTGATTAAGAACTTTGAATCTTGATCCGTTTGTATCTCTATGCCTATACGAAAACGAATTGGTGAACCATTTGGTCACTGGTTACTTGCAGAGATGGCGTGGTCACTAGTTTGGTTCTTTTCAGACTATGACCATATTGGTTACAGTGATAATGCCGTTTAGGATTTTGAGTGGCATAAGTTGATTTTCTTTATACGTGGAATGCCACTATATGATATTAGTAGCATAATTGAAAATAAAGCCGCATATAGAATGCATCCTAGTCAAACGGTTCTGCTTTTGTTCCCAAGCACATAAATTTCTGAGATGATGCAGATGCAAAGTGTCCAAAACTCAACTGGCAAAAATTATTGTGCTTCATTTGTATAATACCATTTACAAGGGGCAAGTTGATCACTATGACATATGTGCACTAACCTAAAAGGAAAAACGAATCCCTTCAGAGGCGAATAATGTGATGGCCATCACCGAAGTGTCAAGTGAGTTTTGCATAACTCATGATTGGTCATAGTATCATGAAGTTGTTGAATGGCGACACAAAAGCATTGTTGAATGGCACCAACAAGTGTTTTTCTTAAAAACACAAGTGGCTTTTATAAAGTCTATGTGAAGATACAAAGAGATTTTATCTTTACAGAGAATTCCTACCTCTTAATATGAAATTTAATTTATTGATAGCGTTAAAAGCAACCACAATATGAGAGGAATGTGGGGGTGACTTAGCTATTTTTGAGAAATGGAATATACTTAAAAAGAATGTAAAAGTAATTTTCTTTGAGAAAGAGATAACGATTATCTCTTATAATTAAAGTTTTAAGGTATTGAGAAGTTTGAGATCTTCAAGCAAATATCTTAAATGCGGGGAATTTACCCTAGTGTTAGCAAATTACTTATCAAGTTCAAACGCATGTTTGGAGGAATTATGTTGGAACAACTACTCTCGAATGAAATATAATTTCATAAATGGAAGTACACACCATAAGAGATAGTCATCAACCTAGTGGATCCAATTAATTAAATGTTTGACTAGAGAATAAGTTGTATCATCGAGGGGAATGGGTTAAAAAGCCTACGTCTTTAAGAATCGTCATAATGGCAACACAAGCTGACTGGAGATCCTAAGATCTAGGTTCAAAGGGACAACTGAATTGTGGATGATTCAATGGGAGCACTGCGAAGATAATCTCCTACCCATGTCCTATGATGAAACAGTGTTATCTGCAACGTATTTAGGATAAGCTTTGCATTTAATGATTCTTATACTTGGAAATAACAAGTGGAGTATTACAGGATACTATTAATGGGAAGTCACCTATCTTGAGTGAGGAATGGGGCCGTTCTTGTGAGAATTTTTTTTGAAGGGCTTAGTTTTCTAAAAGCACTCATGAGAAACCAAGAATTGTTCAGGGCCAAAATGAACACAACCAAGCAACCACGGGGTGTCTGGAAGGGTATTGTGTGATTAATATTGTCTTGGTTTACACAAACGGTTGAGCAGTTCAAGACATCGCATTCACTGATTAGCCAAGTAAATCCGATAGTAATTCACTACAAAAGGTTCAAAGCCAAAAGCCACCTATCCCGATGCGATACATTTCTTACTGAATTCTCTGTCTAGTGTCTGCATTGTCATTTGCATAGTATTGAGTCAATTTTCATTCATGTGGGGGATTGTTAGAAAATTTATTATATTAAATTTATTACTTGAATAGAAATTAGAAGTGTGAGCCTTTTGGTAAAAAGATGTGTCTACTCAAATGAAGAGTTGCAACTTTTGACTCTTCATGAATAATCATATGTTTTCCAAAGAGGTATCTCACATTCTATAAATAGAGAAGCCCTTTATAATTACAAGATAACTTTTCATTGTTTTACATAATCATACATAAAGTGCATGAAATATTAGAGAATCTCATTGAGTCCATATGAGAGAGTTTTCAACACAGTTGTGGTTCATGGAGTCTTGTGATTTGGAGTGCTACTATTACAAGGACGTGGTCGTTGTATCTTAGGAGACATGCGCCGATCAACCATGAGCACCGTAGTGGGGCGTAAACTTGTCTTAAGGATAAAGTGTCCAACACTTGCCTCGACCGTATTTTCTAGGTTTTTCTAATCCATTATATCATATTCATTCAACATTGGTTCCTCATGTGCATGCATTATTGTGATATATAATTGCATGAATTAGTTCTTGAGTTTCTATGTGATTTATTATAGCAATTAGACCCTAATTTTTTCCAACACTCTGTATATACAAACATTGCTCATTACGAATGTACTACTAACAACGATAGTAAAGATGTTGGGGTTTGCAGCCCATTGAATCCAACAATGACTAGAGTTTTTAATAAGTGAACAAATCTGAAGTGGATCTATGAACCATCATGCCTCTGCTTTCCAGATAGGGGAGAAGACATGGTATTCTTAAGCCATTGGAGTTTGGGGAATCAATTGAGAGATGGCAACGAAGTGAAAGTTCCCGATTTATGAGATCCTGGTTCCGAGTAAAAGAGGGGCATTCAGCTAATTGTGCACGAGGAAGAAAATAATATGCGCAGTACCCAACATGAAACAACTGGTCCTTGTTTTTCCGATCATTTTTGGACGTTTGGCGTAATACGAGTTGATGCCAAGAACATATTTCGTCTCCCATGGACCATTTGAAAGGAGAAAGAAGACGTTCAGGGATTGCTTCATTCGGTTTTGTTCAATGACATATTTGGGAACTCCGATCAAGAGAAAGAGAGAGAAACCAAAACACTCGACGATTTACAAGGAAAGCGGCGTGATACTCTCACGCAATCAGCAATTTCAGATTGTCTCTGCAGCAGCAATGGCAGGTACGAACATCAATTCAATTTGCTAGTTTGGTTGGTTCGTGTTTTACAATCCAAATCTATAGAAAACTTGCAAAGCCAATGACATATTGGTGGCAAGGGCGAGGATTACTAGTGTCTTGTTTCAGATCATTGCTTCTGAATACGGGTCTTGCAAAATTTCTGGCACCAGCGAAACTGAAACCGAGTTTGAGCCAACCGATCGAATCAATGTGTAGATTGAAATTTTAACTCCCCGTCAAAAACTAACTGATGTGGTTATAAGTTCATTCTATACCGAACCAGACCGAATTAGATTTATATACATTCGAACACGTAGAATCAGACCGAAATAGGGTTATATACATTCTAATATGAGAAGGGATCGAGCATATCTAAATAGGTACTAGGAAATTACAAAATTAAACACAAACAAAAACGTTGCCGCCCAAATTAATTGGTGGCGCCATTGAAATAGCGTCTAAAATCCCTACTTTCCTTTGATATTCTACACATTTGCATAATTCCCATTTCTTTATTTGGGCAATGAAAAACTTGAGCACAAGAAACAATCATCAATAAGACTGCTAATGATATTGAAATCGGATTCAAGACAACCAAAGATTTTGCCGAAAACCAGGTGAATTTTTCAAACACCGTTAGGACAAAATCAAATGACACCACCGATTACATTTCAGCGGGACATTTTATCAAACACCATCCGGGCTAAAGGGTTCTCACCACATCAATGTAAAACTCAAGCAAATGCAAATATTCAACAAATTTAAGTTACTCGAATCATGATTTTAAATTTTAATCACCAAAAGTAAGGAAATGGGCCGTTCATTTCGAATTCAAGAGATTACAGAATCCAAATTCATCAATCCATGCCACCACAAATTTCAGATCATTGTATTTCATCCAAAAGATAAGAAATTACATATCTTCTAACCAGAGACCCTACACACTAAACACATAAAGATCCACTCTTTAAAGCCCTAAAAGACACAGACGACGAACAGAACAGAACCCACCAAATTTCAAGAGCTGGTAAACTTGGTCACCGCCTTAGTCCCCTCAGACACCGCATGCTTAGCGAGCTCACCAGGAAGCACCAATCTCACGGCAGTCTGGATCTCCCGGGAAGTGATCGTAGGCTTCTTGTTGTACCTCGCAAGCCTCGACGATTCCTGGGCGAGCTTCTCGAAGATGTCGTTGATGAAGCTGTTCATGATTCCCATGGCCTTGCTGGAGATCCCGATGTCAGGGTGGACCTGCTTCAGCACCTTGAAGATGTAGATCTTGTAGGTCTCAACGCTCTTCTTCGATTTCTTCTTCTTCTTGTCTCCGGCGGCGCCTCCGGCCTCCTTCGGGAGCTTCTTCCCGGCCTTGGGCTTCTTCTCAGCGGGGGCTTTCTCCGCCACAGCTGACTTCTTCTCCTCTGCTGGCTTCTTCTCGGCGGGCTTCTTCTCAGCTTGGGCGCCATTGGAGTGGTGGGAGAAAATTAGGGTTTGGGAATTTGGGGGTTTTCGAAAGCGAAGTGATATAATTCAATTAAAGAGGGATAGAGTCTCGATGAAGATTATTTTGTGTGTGAATTGAAGTGGAGGAATGCATTTGTTTATATAGAGAGAAGTTCGCTGTTGTTATTGGTCGGTAGGGGTTTCACGCGGATCGCTGATGTGTATCATATTCTGGCCGTGCGATTTGGTTTTGAAAATGTTTAGGGATCGACGGTTGTCATGAGTGGGGACGATTACAGCGGATTCGGATGGATCGCTGAGTTGGCGTGTTACTACACCGCCGATTCTTTATGCACGATAGATTGTTCAGATATGTCATTTATACAGCCTCTCTAGCAATAAATGTTTTCTTAGGAAAATTAATGAAAAATGTATGAAAATTTTGAGTTTTAACGATAAAAATAAAATAAATAATAAAATGAATAGTATCAGGATTAACTTTTTAATGTAAAAATATGATTTTTCGTTAAAGTAAATAATACCGCGGATTTTTCGTTAAAACTTATTCTTTTTTTTACTTGCTTTTAAAGATGTTTTGTGGTAATTGTTTTATAATATGGTTATCAAGATATATTTTTAAATTCATCCATAAAAATGTGATTCAAAGAGGAATTTATAACTTTATTTTTATTGGGAGCAAGAACCTGGCACAACATGTAGTCTCTAACATTATCAGAAATTTACAAAATATAAAGAGAGAAGCACATACTGAAGAAGATTAAAAAAACTCAATGGAAGTGTGTGAAGTGAAATCGGTATGAAGATTTACCGTAACATTAACAATACCAAACTTGAGTACCTAAGAGCAACTCCACCCCTAAAGACTTTTCGCCAGCACCCAGCCCATTTATCCACTTCAGTGACCAGTAATAGACCCTAATGAACAGTAATAGGCCAAAGCATCTCCACCCCTACAAAATGCTCTGGCACCCAGTCTATTTAAAATCTTAAATAATTTTTTAATAAAATAATAAATTAAAAAAATAGTTTTAATTTCGGATAGGATTTTTAATCAATCTCGTCACACCACGTGTCATTATCCAAACGTACTATTTTGTGAATAGATTTCCGCTAAGATTTTCAACCAATCCCGACAAGCCACGTGTCACTTCCTGTTTACAATAATTTAGGCAAAATTTTGATAAGATTTTCAACCAATCTTGTCACGCCACGTGTCATTATCTAAACGTACTATTTTGTAGATAGATTTCTGATAAAATTTTCTACCAATCCCGACACGCCACGTGTCACTTCCTGTTTACAATAATTTAGCCAAGATTTCGATAAGATTTTCAACCAATTACGTAGTGCCACGCAGCATTGTCTAGAGCGTCATCTTTTCTTTTTTTGTCCATATAAACCCTACATCCCTACATCCTTCCTCACACTAAACTCAATCCTTTTTTTTTAGCTCAGAATCCTTCTTTATCGTTTTCAAATCTTGAGTTCTTACAATGTCTTCTTCAAGGAGAGTGTATAAACAGTTGCAACAGCAGCAGAAAAGGTTGTTGGCACAACAGGAAGAATTGGTCAATCTTGACGAAGGTGGAGGTGGAGATGAGGCCTTCGCAATGGAGGAGGATGAGGATGATCACCATAGAAGGCGGAGGATCTCACATTCCCACCGTATCATGGAAGCTGTGGGTCAGATAGCCAAACCCAGACATGCGGCAAACATCGATAGAAGAAGGGAAAGACAGTATTAAAAAATGTGGGATAAGATAGTACTAAAAAATGCGGGTGTAACACAAATAAATAAATTAAAATATTGATGGGCGTGGAATGCATAAGAAATTACATAAAAATTGCATAAGAAATTGCATAAAAATTACATAAGATATTAAATAAATTAAAATATTGATGTGGGTGGAATGCATATAAATAAATAAAAATATTGTTACCTGATCCGCTAAACTTGTCCCACTACGTAGATTACCAGATGTATGAGAGATGACATTTTTCCAACAAGTAAAGGATGCGTTGAGTTTTTTCCAACGACCTTGAAGACCTTGACTAGATCTGGCATCTTTTCCATGTACATCGTAAAACGCTTTCGTAATTTTACTCCACATTTCTTGCTTATTCATCTCATTACTCGTAATCGGATCATGAATAGTGTGAACCCAACATTCACATAACATAACATCTTCAATGAGCTTCCACGAAGTTATTTTTTTTCTCTCAAAGAGTACAAAATATTCAAATGTAGAAAGTGTAGAAACTGTAGAAAATATTGAAATGTGGTGTAAGGTGGAAGATGAGTGTTAGGTATTTCTAGAAAAAAAAAATTTAATTTTTAAAAAATTTTCTGTATTTTAAAAAAAAAATTCATAATTTTTAATGTTGTTAATTAATCTGGACCGTTGGATTTGAAAAATATTCAAATCCAACAGCCAACGAATTGCCACGTGGCCAACGGTCAAAATTCTAACCGTTGGGCCTTTTTTTTTTTTTTTTTTTTTTTTGGTGAAAAAAATGTGGATCGTTGATCTGTGATGGGACGGTCCATTTTAAAAGTCAAATTTAAATTTTTTTTACCGTTGGAAATCCAACGGCCTACAAAAACTAGCCGTTGGAAATCCAACGACTATGAGGAGGGCCACGTAGCCCTTATCTGGGTAAACACAAGTGGGCTGACAAGCAGGGCCCCGCCGCCTACACCCTTGTCTCCTACTCGCGCCTAGTCGCGAGTGTTCTGCACGCGCCAGCCAAATAGGCAGCTTCTGGGTCTGTCTGAAATGGGATGGTCTGTTGCCTGGCTTGGGCTGGGTGCCAGGCTATTTTGCGGGCTGGAGCACTTGAACAAGGTGCTGGCCTTTGTTTTGGACAGGGTGCTAGGCTATTCCACCTCTGGTGGAAGTGCTCTAAAGTAGAGTAAGGTTATTCAATTTGAGATAGCAGTAGGATTTCTTTGCTTTCAGTCCAAATTAGGAAGTAAATCTCCAATTTAAGCTTTGCCATTCCTACACAATTGACAAAGAATGAGGAAAATCAAGATGCATTCATAGACATGATTCCTTTTTCATGAGCTATTATAATAGCAAAATACACTGATCCAAACAATAATGCCTTTACAAAATAACACAACTTTCTTCGGATCAAAAACTTAAAACACAAAGAAATTTCATATAACAAAGGAATATAGGATATGTAGGCCCAAAAGAGTAACCCCATAACAACAAGACAAAACTTTATATTTTGAGGACTACTGCCTCCACCACACCAGCTGCGCCGCTATCGCAAATATGCCAAGACCACCAAGAAAGAGATGTTGGAGTATGCCTGAAAAACAATTGACGTGACAACACATAAGTAGTTATTCGAGCCAATCGAATGTCGAGTTATCGACCAAGGGCAAGTGAGAACATACATCAATTGAGTGTATGACTTAACAATGAATTAGGAAGGTTTATTATTGATTAGGATGAGTCTAAGGAATAGCTTAGGTAGTAGGAACGAGATTGCATAAAGGTTCCAATCTTGAGATATGTATCCTACAAATCTTAAGTCCTAAAATATGTCCATAGACATAGGCTAAGTAAAAGGACTATCTTTTTTTTTTTTTTTTTTGAGAGAGAAAAGGACTATCAAATATATGCAAAGGCGGTTTTTTGTCGTTTTTAGTAGTAAGTCTCAATCTAAGCATGTGGTGACATGAAATAGACATAAAGGTGCTCATCTATGAGATCGAGTTCATTGACCATTAACTAACCATAAAAGTGTACGAATGAAAGAATTATTTACTTGTCAATCGTACCATGCTTCTAAGTTATGGATGCAACTAGTTCTTAAATATGAGGCATCACTGGTTATCTTGTGTTAAGGAATGTGAGCTTTGGTCTCGCCTCAAAGCTCTCAAACAATAGCAGAGCCCTATAATAGAGGTTCACAATCATGTGCATTAACATAGAGATATGTGAATGCATAACAAAAAATATGTCACATTCTAGGTAATCAAGAAGGTTGATAGACTAGTAACCAATTGACGATTTACCTCCAAAAGTCTTTGTTCAAAACAACATACATTAAGGCGATCATATTCATGCTTAGAATTTGATATTCTATGCTCTAAAATATAGTAGACAGAGGAACCTAATTGCATTGTAATCGTAACTAAGGTTTTAAATATGTGTTGTATGAATTCAAACATATTCTGACTAATCTAGTTAGCAGAAATCCATTGCTAAATGTTACTATTCAGTTTGTGAATATTCCTACAAGGTTGAATTATACTGGTTACTAATTATGTAGAAACAAATAAATTTCTTTAATTAATCAAATTAACATTGCCAGCTTTAGTTGGAACCTACAAGGTGACACAAAATAGAATGATATTGAAGGATAAAATTGGTGAATGTTGAATTTAATATAAGTTGTTTATATTCAATACTTTTTTTTATTTTTTATTTGATTAATTCATTTGGAGCTTATATTTATGGGTTAATCTCAGTTTATTACCTTAAAGTTTCGTGGTTTTCAACATTTGGTACATGAAGTTTTTTCATCCCAGAGTCATATCTCAAGTCTTAATTTTTGGACAGTCTCATACATTCGTTAAGTTGACTGTTAAGTAAGCTGCTAACTAGTGACGTGATGCTCATGTGGACAATGACTGAGCACCAGTGTCATTAAGGGTTCACGTGGAAATTAAATTAAAAACTAAAAATTAAAAAATTAGAAAATTAATTTAAAATTTTAAAACCTAAATCTTAACCATCTTCCATCGCTTAGACCCTTTATTCCTAATTTGTCTTCGCCAACTCGGTCTCCCTCTTCCGTCCCTCTCCCTACTTGCACTCGTCATTCCCTCACCACCACCTCCTAACCCGACCCATTTCTCCCCTAATCCTTCCATACCTGACCTGGATTCCCGATTTGGACTCTCCACCACCATGAAAACATGGAATTTGCAGGTGCGGCGTGACTGAGTTTTGTCTTCGCAGCGTGACAGGGGCAGCCTGATCTTTGGCCTAATCCTCTACCACCTGATTTCTCCTCCATAATCTGCAACCTTGCTCTCAAATTTGCTGACTCACTTTTACTTGAGCTTTGATGAATCGGTCACTGCAGTCCTTAACGGCAACAGTAATTCATCATGCAGTTGTTATCGGCCTTCTAATTATATCCAAGTACACCAATGTTCTGGTGGATTCCGTCGCAGTGAAGGGGATTGAGAGCGGGGGGTGAGGTGGGAGATGAGGGTTGGGTGGGATATAGAGGAGATAAGGGAGAAGGGGGTTGGGGAGTGAAGGAGGGGCAGATCGAACTCTTCCTCTGTGAGCAAGTTTCGAAGGAAGTCTGGAATTGGGTTTTTTTTTAAGAAAAACTAATGAAAAGGGCTTGAAAACTTTGAGTTTTAATGATAATGACAGAATAAAGGGTAAAATGAATAGTACCAGGATTGACTTTTTAGTGTAAAAATGTGGTTTTTCGTTAAAGTAAACAGTACTGTAGGCTTTTCGTTAAAACTCCATTTTTTTTTTACCAGAGGAGGAGATCTTGCAAACGAGAAGAGAGGAGGAGACGACCTTCACCTTCGTCCCCAAATTTCTAGGCGCATCTCTATGTGATTTCTTTGTCTCCATTGACCATTGTAGAGACATACTTTTTGAAAGGGCAATGAATTTGTCCATCCATGGTTTAGCATTGTTCTATAGAACCCAGTTAACGGTTGACTTAACAGCTAACTTAACAGATGTATAAGATTGTATGAAAATTAAGACTTGAGGTATGACTTCTGGATGAAAAAAACTTCATTTATCAAATGTTTTTTTTTTTTTTTTATTTTTTTTGTCATTAGTTAAATTTGGGGGTGGGGGGAATCGAACCTGGGTGAGGTGGGAGTTTTCTTGGCTCTAGTGCCACTACAAATAGGCCTCCATCCTCTCATGTATCAAATATTGAAAATCACGAAACTTTAGGATAGTAAATTGAAAATAACCCTATATTAATTATAAGTTTTTTTTTTTTTTGAACAATCGATATTATCCACACTAAGGGAATAGGGGTGGGCTTAGTCTCACAATGTGCTAGCAATAATGTGATTAAAATTCACCTTTGACGAGAATCGAACTCAAGACCTCTTACTTACCAGTGAAGAGAAATACCACTAACTGTAGTTTTAAGTGGCTTATTATAAGTTATTTGAACTAAAATAAATAAGGAATCTCAATCTAAAAGGAAAGATCATATTAATTAAATAAATAAAATAGAAGCAAACCAGGCTAAAGCCCAATGACAAAGGGTAGGTGTGGTAAGCCCGAAGGAAGTGTTTCCTAAGGTATGCAGCACACATGTGAGATAAAAGATTAAATTGAAATCTTACTGGCTTATAAAATTGTGCTATATATCCTAAAGGTCTTTAGACCTAGTGTTGATTTTTTACACATGGTGAAATCAAAAATTGAGGGAGAAGGAAATTAGATTTTCTATTCAGAGAAACTTAAAAATATAACACTGCCCATTGCCGTATTCACCTGGAGGAAAGGGACCAATTGGTTCGTCACCATCCTGCTTCACCAGACAAAGATTAATTCGTGTGGGTATTAGTATAGGGCTAACAGTTAGGAGCCTAAACAACGAATTCATCTTCATATGAAATCTAGATACTGGAATTCTAAACTTAATTTAAATTTATGCATGTGTTCTTAAAATTGTATTGCATGAACATAAGCACGTCAATTAACCTAGATCACATGGATTAATTTAATAAGATTAAATAGAGTCCAACGTTTTGCTAACCATGCATGTAAATTATATTATATATGCTTATATCACATTGCCATGTTTCTGCACACGTGTGTTGTAGTCCACAAACCAACAAAAGAAATTGGATGAACAAGATATGGGTGTGAGCGAGCCACTTGCACAAAAAAAGCTCTCCAAAATCCTTCAAATAGTGCTAATAACACTTTAATAGTCACCTAACACCAAATTGTGTCGCTAAGGAGACGCACATAATGCACCAAGTAGAAAATATTGACGGTAGAAGAATGACCACGAGAAGCAACACTTAGGGGTGGGAAATTTTACCATAAACTGATTTACCGACCGAACCATAAGGTTGGCTCATAATGGTATGGTATATTTTTGGCATTTTTTTCATAATTGGTTGGCATTTTACCGAACTGACAATTAATGGCATGGCTTTGGTAATTGATTTTGTATGTTGGCGGTATGCCATTCCTACCACTATATATATATATATATTTTTTTTTTTTTCTATTTGGATATTTTAGGTATTTTTTACATAAATGACTCCTTAGTTTTAGGGTTTAAAAACTACATGCTTGACTTCTCCCTACTGCTATAAATCAGAATCTGATTGTCCATACTCTGTGCTGCAAGCCAATTGGAATTGGGGTGCAGCGAAATTGATGGCATGGAATGCATGTGAGGCTCACTAATATACTCAATAACCACAGGGATCCCAAACTCCCATACGCGAAGTGACTTGTCATCGCTGGAAGTAACAAACCTACGATTATTGTCCACAAATGTAATCGTTTTCACAACACCCAAATGCTGATCATACACTTGCAAACCTACGGTCATTATCCACACTTTCCTTATTTGCAAACCACCGGTTGTGCCATTTACCAACCGAATCAATCAATAATTTTGGCTAAACCGATTTTTGGTAACCGCAAGAAGACGGTTGACTAGCGGTAACTAATTTTCGGTAATTATGTATATGTGGCTGGCAGATGATACAAGAAATTTGGCACGATTTGCCAACCGAACCCAGCCCTAGCAACACTTGAGCAAGAGTGGGACGTAAAAGCCTGTATGTAACATGAGCTATGAGAAATGAGACAAAATCTCAAATAACAGAAAAAAAAAAAAAGAGGCAAAAGAGATAAAGGGCGTGAAGTAGTTGAGATTAGCCAGTACAAAGAGTTGTCATCGACTCCTACCCAAAAGAAGGAGCCGGCGGAAGGAAGATCAGGTTTGTTTGTTTGTTTTTTTTTTTTTTTCGCTTTCAACGAGACAGAGAAGGCCCTCGGATTTCTTTAGTTGATCTAATTCATAAATTTTAGTTATTTCATACGAATTTTAATTCCTTACATGCAAGTAAATGTGGGATAAGTTATGAGTTGGAACTTATTCTTGTTCTTTTTATTCCTATTATTGATAAGTACGCCAACTCTAAGTTCAAATCTGTATTAGTACTACAATGTATACCTACACTAATAGGGGTGTATTTAATTAGGATCTTGATGAATTTAAATAAATCGTTTTTATGAAGTTTACTTGATTTCTAGAGGTTTTATGTTAAATTTTGAGTGAATTCACTCAAGAGGAGAGGTGAGACTTGAGAATGTTTAAAATATACTATGAAATCTCTGGAATTTCTTCGAATTCCCCAACTTTTTAAAATCCTGATTGGATATACCTAAAATTTCATAAATTTTAGTTATTTTATATGAAATTCTAATTCCTTACATGCAAGTAAACGTCGGAGAAGTTATGAGTTGGAACTTATTCTCTTTCTTTTTATTCCTATTATTGATAAGTAAGCCAACTTAAGTTCAAATATGTATTAGTACTACAATGTATACCTACACTAATACGAGTGTATTCAATTAGGATCTTGATGAATTCAAATCAATCATTTTTTATGGAGTTTACTTCATTTCTAGATGTTTTATGTTAAATTTTGAGTGAATTCCTTCAAACTCTCGGGGGAAGAGGTGAAACTTGAGAATCCTTAAAATATACTGCAAAATCTTTTTAATTTTCTCGACAATTTTAAAAATTCTTTAAAATTAATTTCTAATTGATTACACATGGAGTGTTATAAACTCCTTTAAGATCCAGACTTAATATACCTAAACTTTTATAAAATTACTTAAAATACTGATTGAATATCTATGAATTTGTAAAATAATTAAAATATCTCAAATCCGAATTCACTTTAATTAAATAGAAAAAGCATAGTGGGTTTGTGGGCTTGCCCTTCTTCGATGTCTGTGACCCAATGGTCAACAAACTGGGCTTTGTCCCAACCCAAGTTCGCTCCTCGTGTAAGGTTATTTTCGTAAAAGGGCAATCATAAGAAGGCTGAAAGCTGCTGACTCCGCACCACTTCAAAAACAAAACCCTAGCGCCTTTCCTCTCCAAACTTCATCAGCCAGCCGCCCCCGTCTGTGCTCGCAGGTAAAACCCAATTCTCGAACAATCTCCAAAATGTCCGAACAATTTAACACCTACCCAGTATCCAAAACCCCATGATTTATTGACTGTAAATTTTGTTTCTTTTCTATGCTTGCAGATCTACACCTTTTGATTTCGTTTCCAGCTCGCACTTGCAGTAATGGTGCGCGTCAGTGTTCTCAATGACGCTCTGAAGAGCATGTACAACGCCGAGAAGAGGGGGAAGCGACAGGTCATGATCCGGCCGTCGTCAAAGGTCATCATCAAGTTCCTCCTGGTTATGCAGAAGCATGGTACGTGTTTTTGAAATATTTTCGTTTGTTTTGGAATTTTGTGTTTTGATGGGTGCGATTTGTGAATTGTGATTGTTGGGTTTTGGGATTTGTATAGGATACATTGGGGAGTTTGAGTATGTTGATGACCATAGAGCTGGAAAGATTGTGGTTGAGCTTAATGGGAGGCTGAACAAGTGTGGGGTTATCAGTCCCCGATTCGATGTCGGTGTGAAGGAGATTGAAGGCTGGACTGCTAGGCTTCTGCCTTCCAGACAGGTCTGATTCTCTATCTCAATTACTGGGTTTTGGTCTGTCGTATTATATGAATTTTGTGGTGTTCAACTATGGATTGCTCGATTGTGCATTTTTGTGACTTAAAATGGTTATTGAGCATACTCTTTTTCAGTTCGGATATATTGTGCTGACAACATCTGCTGGAATCATGGACCATGAAGAAGCTAGGAGAAAGAATGTTGGTGGCAAGGTCCTCGGTTTCTTTTATTGACACGATGAAGCACAACTTTAGGAACTTTTTGTGAAATTTTGGTTTCGTTTCATTTGTTTTTGCCGAAGGAAGAGAACCCTTTTTCTCACCAATGCTGGTTTGAAATATTTATTGTACTAGGATATTTAGTTTTATGTTTTGTTTTGATTGACTTTCATGTTATTGCAAGCCTCAATGATAAAGTTACTTGGTATCCAGCGGAAATGGCATTGTATTGGAATTTTATTCATCCTTGTTTCTATCTCCCCTGTCCACATCTCTGCCCTGCAGTTGAGTGGTTTCGTTTTGTTCAAATGCCACGGGAAAAACATGTAAGCAGTTTTGAATCTTGCACCCTGAGATGCCTTTCACGTTATAGGTTGGCTTCTTTTATTTTATAAGAGCTTGCGATTCATGATTCAGTTGAACTATTTTGTGTTAGGGCATTGGCCAAGGGTGTTTTGTAGATTAGGTTTTGTTTGTTTGGCTTATGTTGGCTTAGGGTGTTCTGTTGAGTAAGTTTTGTCGAACGGCAGCACTGATGCCTTGAGTTCCTATAATACTTTGGTGGTTCGTTGCTTGAGCATTGTTTTTTGAGACTAAGCTAGCGTTGGGAAACATCCTCTTAAACTATACTTTTACATTTTATATTGTTTTGAAGTCTAGCAGAGGAAATGAAGTATGCCATTATATATATAATTAAATATTAGAACTTGATGACCTTTGGATCGGCTTAAATATACATACCATTCAATTTCTTAAGTTTTATACATACAAAATAAATAAATTTAAATCTACTTAATATATATACACACCATTGAACTTGATGAAATATGAATTCTACGAAACTAATTTCAACGATCTAACCGTCAAACTTGTTTGTATATGCTTCGAGATCGCATTAGTAAAAAAATCGCAAAAAACAAACATTCAAAGATCAAGTAACGAGACAAAATATTTTTATGGTTCTCAACGAAAAATCATGATTTAATGGTTATTTTAACTTTGATTTTGATGATTTCTTATAGTTACACTCCTTGACCCTATATGAATATAATGAATGAACTCAATCTTCAATTTAAAATATTTACACTATTGGATACCACAAAATCTTATGTTATGCTTAATGAAAGTATGAATAAACTCTTAGTGTTAGTGAATTTATTGTTTTGACGGGATATGCATTCTACGAAACTAGTTTCAACGATCCAACCGTCAAACATGTTTGTATATACTTCAAGATTGCATATGCCAAAAATTGCAAAAAAACAAACATTCAGAGATCAAATGACGAGACAAAACTTTTTGATGGTTATAAACGAAAAATCACTATTTTACGATTATTTTAACTCCGATTTTGATGATTTTTAACAGCTACACTCCTTGACCCTATATGAATACAATGAATGAATTTGATCTTCAATTTAAAATATTTACACTAGTGGATACCACAAAATCTTATGTTATACTTAATGAAAGTATGAATAAACTCTAAGTGTTAGTGAATCTATCGTTTTGATGGGATACGCATTCTACGAAACTAATTTCAATGATCCAACTGTCAAACTTGTTTGTATATGCTTCAAGGTCACATATGCCAAAAATCGCAAAAAACAAACATTCAGAGATCAAGCAACGGAACAAACTTTTCGACGGTCATCAACAAAAAATCACGATTTAACGATTATTTTAACTCCGATTTTGATATTTTTTTTACAATTACACTCCTTGATCCTATATGAATACAATGAATGAATTCCATCTTCAATTTAAAATATTTACACTAGTGGATACCACAAAATCTTATGTTATACTTAATGAAAGTATCAATAAACTCTAAGTGTTAGTAAATCTATCGTTTTGATTGGATACACATTCTATAAAACTAATTTCAATGATCTAACCGTCAAACATGTTTGTATATGCTTCAAGATCGCATACGCCAAAAATCAAAAAAATCAAACATTCAAAGATCAAGCAACGGGACAAAACTTTTCGACAGTTATCAATGAAAAATCACTATTTAACGGTTATTTTAACTCCGATTTTGATGATTTTTATAGCTACACTCCTTGACCCTATAGGAATACAATGAATAAACTCGATCTTTAATTTAAAATATTTACAATAGTGGACTTATGTTATAATTAATGAAAGTATGAATAAACTTTGAAGTGTTAATGAATCTATTGTTTTGATGGGATACGCATTATACGAAACTAGTTTCAACGATCGAACCGTCAAACATGTTTGTATATACTTTGAGATCGTATACGCCAAAAATTGCAAAAAACAAACATTCAGAGATCAAGTAATGGAACAAAACTTTTCAACGATTGTCAACAAAAAATCACGATTTAACGGTTATTTTAACTCCGATTTTGATGATTTTTTTACAATTACAGTCCTTGACCATATATGAATATAATGAATGAACTTGATCTTCAATTTAAAATATTTACACTAGTAAATACCACAAAATCTTATGTTATACTTAATGAAAGTATGAATAAACTCTCAAATGTTAGTGAATCTATCGTTTTGATGGGATACGCATTCTATGAAACTAATTTCAACCATCCAACCATCAAACTTGTTTGTATATGCTTCAAGATCGCATACGCTAAAAATCGCAAAAAAACATTTAGGGATCAAGTAATGGAACAAAACTTTTCGGCGGTTATCAACAAAATCACGATTTAATGGTTATTTTAACTTCGATTTTCATGATTTTTTTACAGCTATACTCACTGACCCTGTATGAATACAATGAATGAACTCGATCTTCAATTTAAAATATTTACACTAGTGGATACCACAAAATCTCGTGTTATACTTAATGAAAGTATGAATAAACTCCTAAGTGTTAGTGAATTTATTGTTTTGATGGGATACACATTCTACAAAACTAGTTTCAACGATCCAACCGTCAAATATGTTTGAATATACTTTGAGATCGCGTACACCAAAAATTGCATAAAAACAAACATTCAGAGATTAAGTAATGGGACAAAATTTTTCGACGGTTATCAATGAAAAATCACGATTTAACGGTTATTTTAACTCTGATTTTGATGATTTTTTATAGTTACACTCCCTGACCCTATATGAATACAATGAATGAATTTGATCTTCAAATTAAAATATTTACACTATACTTAATGAAAGTGTAAATAAACTCTAAGTGTTAGTGAATCTATCGTTTTGATGGGATACGTATTCTACGAAACTAATTTCAACGATCTAACCATCAAACTTGTTTGTATATGCTTCAAGATCGCATACACCAAAAATGGAAAAAAACAAACATTCAGAGATCAAGTAACGGGACAAAACTTTTCGACGGTTATCAACGAAAAATCACGATTTAACGGTTATTTTAACTTCGATTTTGATGATTTTTTACAGCTACACTCATTGATCCTATATGAACACAATGAATGAATTCGATATTCAATTTAAAATATTTACACTAGTGGATACCACAAAATCTTATGTCATGATGATCAATGAAAATTGAGGATTTTGTAAAAGGAATAACATGCAAGCTTTGAGTTCCATCGGCAAAGTTTAAACTTTTGAGAAAGACTTCACAACTTTGAAAACAAAAACTCTTTTATTTTGCATATTCTTACACATTTAATATTTTGTAATAGACTAGTAGTATATGCATGTTTGTTTATTAGGCTTTTATTTTTTAGTGAATGTGTAGTACTTAAACGACATGTGTTTTAATGTTTTGCAGTAATATTTATGTGGATGTGTGGTATGTGCAAATTAAGGAAAAAAAATATTTTTCTTAACAGGTCATAACGGGTCGGGTTAGTTTTACCCAAAGTAACCCGAACTGTTAAGGACCCGTTAAGATAATGGGTGTAACACGACACGACTTGTTAAGATAACAGGTGTTACACGAAAATGACAGACACGACCCATTTTCCAGGCCTACTCGTGCTATTTCAAAGAGGTCTTGTGCCTTGAGAACTGCCAATGAAGATGCATACGACCTTGGAGTAGGCGCAGGCAACGGATACCCATGAGGTTTTGGGATGTGGTGCTGGTGCTGACGGGTACCCAATGAGCTCGTTCGTGGAAAATGTTTGTTCGTGAACTTTATAAGGCTTCTTATACCGAGGCTCTTAAGCATTTGGTTTCGAAGCTCATTTTAACTTGTTATGTACAATCAGGTCTTTAGGATTTGATTCTCTTTTTGTGATTTTATTTTATCTTCTTTTATGTAGTGTTTTACAAAATGTCATCTCCGGAGTCCAAGTATATCGTATCCCACTCGACTTGTGAGTCATTTTACCTATTCGACTAGTTATTATCTTACTGGTTTCAACTCAAGAATATCTGTAAAAGTCATGGAAATGCAACCGAAATTAGTGGTTTGAATTCGGTGCTGCTGCTACAATGAAACCCTCTATTTGCTTCACATTTTTGGCTGTCCAACTCTTAGTTGAAATGAGTTCATTCGATTATTAATGGAACGAACGACAACTATGACAAGCAAATTTACAGTAATCCTGAAAACAGTATAAAAGCAGTGCCGCATAACGACGGTACAAGAAGCTAGACAATGAACCTTTGGCACTAAGGGAAAGGCCAATGCTGACTGAGTGAGATCTCAACCTGCCCAAACTTGAGTTGGGATCCTCTTCGAACCTCACTATTCGGAGCCTAAAGATCAGCAAATCTGGAACGTTCACGAGAGAGAGATTCGGGCCCTTGATTTGTGTGAGATAGGTCAACGAAATGAGTTAGTGAGGATCACCGAGTTCAATTTGAATGGTTCGGTTATTGATCCTTGGCTCCGAACAATGATATCCGGAGAGGACCGTAACTCCTCAAAGTTGTACCAACAAAGAACTCCACATGCTTTTGGGATCTTTCGTTTTCATATTTATTTTAAACCCCCACGTCCCAAACTTCCATTTACATCGCCTCCATAATTACTGCATCCATCGCAATCTGTAACTACGAGTTGAGACTCCTTTTGCATGAACTTAAACTATTGGCCTTCGATGTTTAGGGTTTGGTTGAGGCGGAAGCCCTTTTCACTTACACATTTACTTTTTCCTCCATACACAACGTTCAATAAATTAAGAAAAACACTTGGTTCCGTATGTATAAATAGTTTATCCTTTTTGCTGACAATCAGTGCAAAATAACGTTTTTTTAAATGTAAGAAGTCAAACAATATTTATTATTTCACAAATTGGTTACAAACAAGAATAACAAAAAGAAAGA